GTGTGTGTGTGTGTGTGTGTGTGTGTATGACCAGTGGCTTTGGGGAATGCTGACTTATTGATGGACATCAACTACCTAAGGACTAGCAATGACAAAGGAAAATTTTAGACTTATAATCTCAGGTTAAAAATGTTCTTTGTAGGGGCTCCTTGGTGGCTCAGTCACTTAAGCATCCATCTTTGACTCAGATCATGATCTCACGGTTCGTGAGTTTGAGCTCTGCATCAGGTCTTGCTCTGATAACATGGATCCTGCATATGTCTGTCTGTCTGTCTCTCAAAAATAAATAAACATTTAAAAAATGTTCTTTGTAGACCTTTAACCAGGAGTCAAATGCTGCTGAAGGATGAGATGACCTTTAGGCTCTCAAGGGTCTTTGCCTTATATTGATATTATTTGAGAGAACTTTTCTAGCTAAAAGTCTAGATCAACTGAGTCTCTGGATGTCCCATTAGTTCCAGGTAATTGTTCAATCAAGCAATGGTGCGATAGGGCCAGAGACTGAAGATGGAGAAGAGGCATCAGAAAGTAAAGGGTAAGAGAAAGGCAGTGGCATGAGGAATATACACTTGATTTCTTACTTTTGGAGAGTTCAACATCTGAATAATGCAAATAGTTGTCTCGACCTGTCACCTTTTAAAAGTGGCTTTTATTAATACTCCTGGTCCAGGCAATATATTTCAATCTGAATTTACTTGGAATAAGTGAGCTAGATTTAGAGGAGTAAACTCTTATCCTGTGGAGAGGGAGAGTGAGTCATCTGAAGGATCCCCTCTTTAGTCCTGGAGAGTAGGGCCATTGATAGGAATGTGAGGGTAAGTAGTGGACACTGGTTTCTGTACAAATAGGTACAGGAGTTGTTGGCAGAGAGCAGGGTTGCCTGGAATGAAACTGAGATTTTTATCATACATAGATGGGTCATAGCTTCTAGAAAGAATGATGACAGGGAAGCCACACAGATCAAATTTGATTCAACCATGCCTTCTGGATACTTGTTAAGTGGCCTAGGAATTTGTACGAGGTATGAGAAAAAGTGAAGACTAATACTTAACGTGAATAAATGTGCATTATCACTAGAGAAGCTAATTAGGGAGAAAATACAAAAGAGTAAAATTTCTTTTTTTTTTTAAATTTTTTTTTACATTTTTATTTATTTTTGAGGGAGAGAGAGAGAGAGAGAGAGAGAGAGAGAGAGAGAGACAGAGACAGAGAGGCACAAGGGGGGAGGGGCAGAGAGAGAATGAGACACAGAATCCGAAGCAGGCTCCAGGCTCTAAGCTGTCAGCACAGAGCCTGATGTGGGGCTCAAACTCACAAACTGTGAGATCATGACCTGAGCTGAAGTCAGATGCTTAACCGACTGAGCCACCTAGGCACCTCAAAAGAGTAAAATTTCTAATTCTAAAATATGTTGCAAGCAGTAAGGCAGAATACTCCAGAGGAGTGGGTATCAAGAATGTAAGATTAGGATTGGGTGGTAGGAGGTGAAGACCCTATCATTTATGTCTGAGATAAGTTTTGACCATTCATATACACAGAGAATCCATCTTGCTTATTGGAACTGTTCATGTTCAGTGACTCAGGCTCCAAACCTTGGAAACATCCTAGACTTATTTCTGTTTCTCACATCCCATGACCAATCCATCAGTGAATCTTGTCTGGACCTTTGACTTATGTCTCATAGATCAACGCATCCATTGGTACCAATCTAGTTCTAAGCAACATAATTTTTGGCTGGGACCATTTCAAATGGCCCTGTAATCGATTCCCCTGTTTCTGATTCTTTGTCTTCCTTAGTAGCAGACCCCCCCATTTTTGTTTGGGGCAACAAAGTATCCAGCCAAAATGCTACATTTCCTGGCCTCCATTTTAGTTAGACATAGCCTTGTGGCTTAGAGCCAATCAAGGAGATATAAGGGGAGGTGTGGTACAGGGTATCTGGAAAGTTCCTAAAGTAGAGTTGACTCATTAGGATGCATGCCCTATTTGTCCTTGCTTCTTCCTCTTCTTTGCTTCTTGGAATGTAAATATAATAGCTACATTTTCAGCTGCCATCTTGGACAATGAGGTGATTCATTCAGAATGGGGAAGCAGAAAGATGGAAGAAACTCAGGATCCTGATGATTTTGGAGTTGCCAGTAGTAACACTGCAACTGGGACTGTTCACCTCTGAAGTTATTTCATGATTGAAGAAAAAGACTTCATGTGTTTAAGTCATTGGTGTTTGACTCTTATGCCATATGCTAAAGTAACCCCCCAATAGTTTATTGTACACATCCTTTAAAAATATGTCAGGTCTTGTACTTCTTTCCTCTAACACCCTCCAGTGTCTTCTCATTTCATTAGGAATAATCTAAACTTAACCGTTATCAAACTTCTGGTCCCTTCATTGACCGGTCTTCCTCATTCATTCTGTTTCAGCTCTTCTATAAACATACCAGGTGTACACATACCTCACGCCTTTGCCCAAAATGTCTTTTGCCTGGAATACTCTTCCTCCAGGTATGCATGTGGCTGGCTCACTTATTTTGTTTGTTCTCTGAGACAATATCAACTTATTAGAGAGGCCTTGATGGTCATCTTTTCAGAAATTGCAACCACTTCTTACTATTCTCTTTCCTTTTATTTTGCTTTACCTTCTTCATAACAATTTATCCTCACATATTATAAATTTACTTGTTGGTTCATAGTCTGCTTCCTCTGCTAGCATAACCTCCAAAAGGCAAATGACTTCACCAATCTATTTACTACTGTCTCTTCAGTGTGTAGGATACTGAGTATGTGTTGATGGTTGAATGAAACCATGTGCTTATGGTTGATGGACAGCTAAAATGATGCAGAGTTCAGATCCCGTATGAAATTTAAAAAGCATAATTTTTAAACTCTTGCTTTCTTAATTATCACTTTTCCTAACTTTTATTGTCTTTAGTTGTTCTTACATATATAGGTATATACGTATGCATAGGTACATATGTAAACACACATGTATATATGCACACATATATACACATAAATACATATATTTACATACATATACCTATATATAAGTGTATGCCACTGTGAATTGTGAGAAATATAAAATCCATTGGTAAGTTATTTTTCTGTTTCTAAAAGGCATTCGGAACTGGTAAAGGACTCCAACTCTCAAAAATCTGGTTGCTAGTATTGCTCTAAACCTGTAATATCTTCTCTTGACTATACAGTGTGTGAAAGTACTTGAGGGATAATAAAAAGTTTATTCAAATATAAGATTGAATCATCATCATCAACAGTAATTCGGTCTCTGAATCTCTGTTACTCTCTTTTCCCTTTTAAAAAAATGTTAATTTATTTTGAGAGAGAGAGCCAGACACCCAAGTGGGGGAGGGATAGAGAGAGAGGGAGAGAGAGAGAAAGTCCCAAGCAGGCTCCACACTGTCAGTGTATAGCCTGACACAAAGCTCGATCCCACAAACCGTGAGATCATGACCTGGGTCGAAATCAAGAGTTAGACGCTTAACTGACTGAACCATCCCAGCACCCCTGTCTCTCTTTCTCATACCCATTCATGGTATCATAAAAATAGCTGAGTGGAGTTTTCTTTCGGTTTCTGATATCATCTATGGGCCAAGATAAAGCATGAAAAGTTTCAAGCCAGAAATAATCTTTTCAAAAGATTTTAACAAACAAAATAAAAAGTATCACTGGTGGAGGCACTTTCTCCTCCATTCCCACATTACAAAGGTGACATTCTACGTGAAGAATATATATACTTTAAGAAAAGGATTAGTGTTACATAAAAGTGAAATTAGA